CTTCCTTGAACTCTGGTCAAGTGCGATCGCGATCCCCATACTCAAAAAAGACAAGTCCGAACACGACGTTAAAAGTTATAGATTAATTTCTCTAACATGTTCAATGTGTAAGTTGATGGAAAAAGTGGTATCTAACAGATTACAATGGTTTCTAGAATACAAAAACTTTATATCCCCCTGGCAAAGTGGATTTAGCAAAGGTCGAGGCGCTCGTGATAACCTAGTTCAATTAGAAACAGCGATCCTTAGTGCATTTAACAATTCAGAAAAGCTATTAGCGATATTTCTTGACCTCGAAAACGCTTTTGACAATACCGGGAGACAGTTGATATTAGTTACCCTAAAAAGATTTGGGATTGATGACTACATGCTAGCATTTCTGCTAGCAAATTTTCTGAGCAATAGGTCCGTTAGATGTGGTAACATACTGTCAGACAACTTTGTGCAAGAAAATGGTGTCTCCAGGGAAGTGGGTTAAGCGCGCTAGTTTTTTGTATTAGCTTAAATAAAATTATAGAAAAAGTTCAACTGCCTGTTCGCGCAATGCTATATGCTGACGATGTAATTATCTACATAAACGGAAAAAACCCTCTCATGCTACAAGACTCACTACAAGAAGCTCTAAATTCAGTTTATAAATGGTTAAACCAAAATGGATTTAAGATATCCTCCGCTAAAACTACTGCTGTCTTGTTTGCCAAGAGACGGACACGTGCCCTTTAGATTTGGCTGGTACTCCAGTTAGATTCGCTGATGCCGTGGGTTACCTGGGGATCATTTTCGATCGAACACTTATGCAACACCCATCTAAAATCAACGAAAGTTAAATTCCTGTAATCCCTTAACCTTCTTAGAATGATTAGCTCCACACGATGGGGCTGCGACAGGACCAGCCTTTGGAGGCTGTATAGAAGCTTGATTAGTTCCAAAATTGACTATGGCAGCAATACAGCTCCGCTACAGACAACAAAATAATTTCCCTAAATAGCATACAAAATACTTGTATTCGCATAGCCACCGGTGCCTTTCGATCCAGTCCAGCTGAAAGCTTAAACGCAGAAGCAGGAGAACCCCCTCTCAAACATCGGCGGACATTCCTGGATCTAAAGTTCTTTGCAAAAATCTTATCTAATAAATCGCACCCACTCAGAGATCTATTTACCGGTTATAATATATTGTCTAATGAAATTCTCCTTACTCAGAACCGAAAACACTAATTCGTGCGAGTATCCCTGGCCCTGCAATCTTTAGGAATACAGGTCGCAAAAATACAGCATTCATGCGTCTCGCCACTCCCTCCCTGGACGTTAAAGGACCCAAACTTTTGTCTCACACTCTCGAAATTCCTAAAAGTGAACACCCATCCTTACACTTATAAGCAAGAGTTCCTTAAAATCTAAAATGAATTCTTAAAACTATTTCCAAAATGAACCTTCCCTTACACAGATGGATCCAGGAGCGCAAAAGGGGTTGGTGCCGCATTCGTGTTAGGCGGTAGAAAATATTCCTTCGTAATCTCACCACTATGTAGTAACTATAGTGCAGAACTCCTAGTGATCAATAAATCCCTAAACATAACAGCTTTGTCAAGAAATCACCTGATCCTTTGTACGGATTCTCTTTCGGCAGTATATGCTTTAAAAGGTATTTTTAGCCTGAACTACATCGTACATGACATTCACTCTGCCATATAGGACCTTTACTGCAAAAATGTACAAGTCACTGTCATGTGGATACCAGGACACTGCGAGATATCCGGAAGTGTTGAGGCAGACAAAGCGGCAAAAAGTGCCCAGAGAGAAAGCCATAAAATAAGTGAGGTGCCGCAAGAAGACTATTATGCATGTGAAAGCCAAAACAAAAGAAAAATGGCAACTAGAATGACTTAATATTGGAGAAAACAAGCTAAGAACCATTAAAGTGGACATTGCACTACGGACCACCTCAGTTAGAATGTCACGAAAAGAAGAATGTGTACTTGCGAGACTCAGGATAGGGCACACGCGGATTACATGGGTATTTGATGGCACGCGAACCTCCGCCTATGTGCTTGACATGTGGAGTTTTAATCCCAGTCAAGCACATACTGTTAGAGTGTAAGATATACAGAAGGGCACGCATGAGCAGCGGGCTGCCTGCTTCTCTACCCGAATTGCTAAACGACAGGGAAAAACAATATCAAGATTATTTCAATTTTTAAGGGAAACAGCATTGATTGGTGAAATCTGACTTAAGGGATGAAATAAAGAGGTCGGACCTGTGGCGGGGCGGCAGATGCTCGAGTGCGGGAGGTGTGGAGGGGCGGGGGGTGTGTGAGGACTTGTGGGCAAAAATGCATGCCCCAGACCTGGGGACGATGTGAATGTCACACAGCCCATGCACATCGTCAGTAGGAGGTACTGCAAGAGAGATAAAGTAATAGTATAAATGCTGAATATCAAATCCTTGAGAATGCTGCCTGTGTCCCTCGTGCTGTCTGGCTCCTCGGCAAATGTAACCCTCATTGTGGTTGCTGCTTTAAAAAAAAAAGATATAAGAAATTTTATGAATATTGAAAAAATCGAAACCATTTGGAATGCGGAAAATTTTTGGAATTGAAAAATAATTTCTTGTTTAAAAAAATATTTGAACTTAAAAATCCGTGATCCCACATCTATTCCTTCCAGTTGTAAGTTTATAGGAATGGTTTTATAACAATAATAGAGGTCTTGTAGTCGTTTTGTCTTTACGTTTTTAAAGCCAATTTAACCCAATCTATATATACATAAAAGTGAATGGTCGTATGTATAAAAAATGTATATTTTTTCTCCGATGTACGGTGTTCAATTAAAAAAAAATCAAAACTCCTCAAAGTGTTAGCAGATGCATTGTAACCATTGGGAGGCTAAATATTTGTACTTTCATCTCATGTAAAATTATTTAGATTTTATATTATAACAAGGGAGAAAAAAATAATTAAATTAACAATCACCCTCCGTCATTTTATTTTATTATCTACTGTTCTGATGTACACGATGTCCGATAAAAAAAATGTATAATTCCTCAAGATTTTATCCAATCTCCAGGGTATTACAATCGATGGAAAGCTGATTTGTTCTATATTTGGCCTATATCAATAATGTTCAGATTTTTGTTATTAAAGTTTGAAAAATAAGGAGGAAATCAACAAAAATTCTTTAAAAGTTTGATTTAATATCTCCGGTTCTAATTTATTTTTGCCATTGCATGAAGATTTATGGTTCTAGAGCCCTATGAAGTTTCCTATGGATCGGTAAAATTGTTTTACGTAATCACCGTTTTTGTGATTAAATGATATGATATATTGATATACAAAATTTACAAAAGACAAATACGCTTTCGGTAAAGTTAAGCATCATTTAAATTCGTTTTAACCGCCTGTTATCGTCTTCAAGTACGAATTTTACTGAAGGAAAATTTACCTAAGGGATTATGAAAAAATAACAAAACAAAAGTTTTTAATTCCATAATTTTGTTTATTGGACACAACAATATTTTAAACAATTAATACCGTGTTTAATCCTTTATTAGCTAAAACTTCTGTTCACCTGTTATGGATGCTGTTAATAAGGTTGTCATTAATTTCATAAGGAATTTCACTCCACAGATGATGCAACGCTGCACTCGGTTGTTCCAGGCCAACTGGCTGCGGATGGTGATCGAAAAGTCTTCTCTGCAAAGCGTCCTACACGTGATCAATGGAATTGAGGTCTGGAGACAATGTGGGAAGGGCACATGGGAAATAACCAGGTTTTCTAAACATTGATGAACAACTCTGCTCTATGAGGTCATTGTCATCCAGAAATCCAAAATCCCTACCAACGAGATCCCTGGTTTGGGGGATGTATTCCTCGTTAATTTCTTGGACATAACGGACTGCATAGGTCGCCTTCAACAAAATGGAGTCAAGTGCGTCCTCCAGTGTTGATTCCAGCCAGACCATTACACCACCTCCTCCAAACTGCCCGGATGGGGGCACGAACTGGAGCATTGTACCCATCTCCTGTTCTAGGTAGACTCTTCGGCAAACATAACAGCATTCTAATTGGTACTCTCTTCTAGGCGCTGTTGATTATAAAGGCCTTGCCTAAACATCTTGTAGTTTATTCAGGATCTGGCGGGCATTATGGAAATGGTTCCGTCTTACAGCAATGACAATATTTCTGTCCTCCCTTAGCGTCATAATGCGCTGTGATCCACTACCAGGCCTCCTATTGGCACTTCCACTTTCTCTGAATCGGGCCAAAGCCCAGGAGACCACGCTCTGAGAAACGCCAATTGCCTCTGCGATATTCACTCGATGACTAATTTTCACAATAATTTTGCCGACTTCTGGTTCAAGATGATGTCTTTCCATGGTTAAGGAGAATACAAGTGAATTAAAATGAAGAAAAGACGAGAAAAGGTGTTTGTTCACAAAATGAGTGATCTTCATGTTTACGATTTGTTAAGTAAATCCGTTATTAAAAATGAGGGTTAACATTTGTTTCTATTTGGTTTGTATTTTCTACTTTGTTTTATATATCTAACAAGAACATATCGCTCGATTTAAGTAAAATTTATGGAATAAGATTAAATTACAAATATTCCTATTCATTTATGTGCAGCTTAGATGTTTTTGGGCTGATTTAGCCACGGAGAAAATTTTCGGTTGTATATTTGAACTATTTTAAAATAAAGTTGTGGGTTTTATGTGTCGGTCGGCCATTGGGGGATTTTTTCCCCTTTGTTTAAAGGTTGGTTGTTTTTAATAAGGCGCGGTAAAGGACAAAATGCCCGTTCGCCGTCTAGCCGGCCTCCTCTTAAACCCGTAAGCAAAGGGGTTAATTTATTCCCGAAAAGGAAGAAGAAGAAGAAAAAATACACACACAGAAGAAGAGAGGTAGAAGAACGAAACCGTGGTGGTGGGAATGGTGGGGCTCAAGGGAAGCGAAGGGGAGGCGAAGGCGGAGGAAGACTTCTGGGTGAGGGAACGTAGAGTGAGCAAAGAGTAAAGAGAGTAGGAGAGTCAAGTCCGAGAAGTCCGGTATTAAATCAGTTGGGCTGTAGATGTGAGCTCGTCAGGACGACTGTAGAATGTGAAGTGTTCAAACAAAAGTGTTTATCTGTGTGTGTGTGTGTGTGAGATAGACAATGTGTTTAAGAATCTCCATACTCCCATTTCTCTTAATCGCTTTCCTTAAGGTAAAAGGATTATTTTTCTATTTAAAAATTAATGTCTTTTTTTTAAATTTTAAAGTTTTATATGCATTCTTATAAAAATTTGTTTTTCAGCAATTTTAAACAGTCAATCATTTAACAATTTTTTAAATACTAAAAATAGGTGGATAAAACAAATATATAATAAATTTATACATATAGATGAGTTAACCAAATTTTAGAACAATTTAGGCTAAGATGTTGCATCTTTTGAATGGAAAGTATCATTAAATGTCACCATAATCATCTAATGTTGTCACAATATTTTTGTTTTCTTCAAATTATAGGCTGTTTTGATTTTTCGATCTACCCGACCGTTGAAATCATCCGGTTTCGGCCCTATAAACAATACACCTTGTGTCACGTGATAACCCAACCTTTGGTACTTAATTAAAAGGATATAACACAAAACAGTCTGATCCTCTGGTTAAGTTTTATTTTTCGAAACCGTACAAAATATGTTTCGGATGTTAAATCTCGTTTGACCCTTTACTGGATACTAAAGGTATATTTAAACTTGCATTATTCTTACTTATTATTAAAATTATTATTAGGCAAAAATCCTCCAGGTTTTAAAGCCGATTATATTCCTTCTTGTAATTAATTTTATATGTTGGACACGATGGAATTTCAGGCTTTATATCTGGAAAGTTTAAATTTTGACACCCTTTATACATGAGTTCTGATTAGGAGGGAAATATTAAATCGCATCCGGTGCAGAAATATTCTTTATCAAACCTTTCGATAAAACAGGAGACAAACATGGTCCTGTTTTAATCTCCGCGTAAATTCAGAATTTAAAAAAAATTGAATTTTCTTTTGTTAGATGAAAGGGGGTTGAAAGGCGATGGAACAAATTGTGCCCTTAGAGTCGGTCCAATTATGATTAATGTCAATACCTGTTGAGTGAGTAGTTTGACAAATGTGCATATGATTTCTCTATTGGTGGTCTTTTGACTCGTTCATCGAGTTGTTTAAAATTCAAAAGCTATTCATCGGTTTTCTTTTTTAGTCATGTGGCCAAATGAGGATCTATATGGCGCCTTCTGTTTTGACAAGAAGAAAATTTCTATTCTACATTATACGGAGGAAAATTCTTCCCATAATGAAAGAAAGAAAGATTGTTAAGTCAGAAGACTTAATAAAGTAAGAATTAAGTAATTAAGTAAGAAGACTACTTTATACTGAAAAAACTCCAACCCTTAGCCATCAATTGAAAGGTTTTTCATCTACTTAGTTCCATTCTCATGATGATAAAATCAACTTGATACTGCTTCTTATTTTAAACGTTATATAAAATATCACCTTCTCCTCAAAACAGTACAAGTTACATTTATCCGATATCTACAGTTACAACTATAGTAAATTTAATCTAAATTTTAGGTCTGTGTCTAGACCTTCTTTAATGAGTAACGTTTAAAAGAAATATTCTTTTTTTTACAATTAAACTGCCGTTTTTTGAACAGAATGAAAGTGATCCAATGAAATTCGGATCTTTAGAAGTGGTTCAAACATTTTTTTAAAAGTTGAGAATCAATTGTTCTGGTTTATTTTGCCTGGATAAACTTGCGATTCGTCATTCCCATCTTTTACGTATAAACTATGTCAAAAACGACCTTCCTAAAAAAATCAACTCCCTGCTTTTAATTACATAAAATTTGTATGAGGCAAATTGGGTAGGAAGGGAAAAAATTCGGGCTCGATCTGAAAATCGCTTCTCCTGAATAGTTGTATTTTGGACATTTCTACACATTTTTCCAAAACCCTTCCTAATATTGAACTGTTTTTTTTCTTTTTGTCGAGCAATAATAGGCAAATTATTGTACCCAGATAAATTTTTGAAATACACCCAGAAATAGAGAAAACATTTTTGGCTGAAAGCAATCGATTTTAATAGATTAGCGACTGTTTTTCGGGCCAAAAATGCTTTTCTTTTAATATTATTTATTTAATACGAAACTAAAACACTTTTTGAACAGAATGAAGCTGGCCCCAGGAGATTCGGAGCTTTAGGAGTGGTTCAAATAATTTTTATAAATTTCTAACCAATTGTTCTAGTGTATTTTGTCTGGATGGATGGTTTATCCAGCTAAGCTGTTTGAAGACGCTTAAATGTTATGTATATTCTATATCAAAAACTTTTTTTAAATTTGCCTAATAGGCTGAAACTGGTCCCAAGAGATTCCGAGCTTCAAAAATTATTCAAATAATTTTTTAAAAGTTGCGATTCAATATTTTGTTTTAATTTAACTGGATAAACGTGCGATACTCCATCGTCCAAGCTGTTTAAAGATTCTCGTCTTTTGTGTGTGTTCTATGTTAAACACTGCCTTTCCAAATCGATCCAAAAAAAAAGGAATCGATGTGTAAAATTTTTATGACCTAAATTGGCTGGGAACGGAAAAAATTCTAGTTATTCTAGCAAATCCAAAAATCCCTTCTCCTGACAAGTTGTAATTTTTCATTTTCCGATACACTTTTCAATTCTCTTCATTATATTGAAACGATTTTTAAAAAATTTCTTTGGGAAATTCTAGGCCCTCAATCGTAGCGAGCTAGTTGTTAAAAACTCACCCACTCTGCGGGGGAAAATATATATATTTAAATAAAGAATTGTGTTCTTGGTGTATTTTGCCCTGAAGAACTAACAACCCGCCTTTCCTTAGATTGTTTGGAGAAACTTTTCTTTTGTATTTCTGTGTCTAAAACAACCTTTTTAAATAAAACAACCCCTATGCAAAAGAATCGTAACGTTTTTATGATGCCAATTGGGAACAACGGGAAAAATTCAAGCTCGATCGGAAAATCTCTCCAAATTCGTACTATACTAAAAAAAAAGATTGGTTCTAACGGTCCAAATAGATTTTGAGAAAATGTTACTGAAAAATGGCAGTTATTTAGCTTCTCTTGGAACAACTAAATAACCCGAAAAAATTCAGAAATATGGTAAAATTTTAATGATTTGATGCTTAATAAGCAGAAAGTACAGACTCTCCTGAAAAAGAAATACAAATTAAAGTACATTGAGTAGAAGCTGTGTTAAAGAAAATAATAATAGGTATAAAACCACGTATTCTTCTGAAAAAACTCCCTACTCGGTGATGGGCAGCAAAGACCAAAAACCTATCCAATAAAAAGCTTGCAAAAATTTCCCAAGTTTTTCTTCTTTTAGTCAATCTTTCAGAAAACAATCCGACCACTGGAAGTATTTTTTGAAAAAGTATTGAACTTGCTTTCGTAGGTTCGGAAGGAGCGTGTTTCATGAGATTGAAAAGTTAGGTCATTTAATTATTGATTTTCTCTTCAAAACAATTTTTCTTTAAATTCTTTTTGATTTCCTCGGGTTAAAAAATGTTTTATGTAATATTTATTTATGTTTTTTAGGAATTGCAATACGTGAAGGCCTCCTTTCTCGAACATTTCCTCAAATTTCCTTTTGGCATTAGTCCGTCTTTATTTTGGCGTCCACTTTGTTAAGGGTTTCTGTCTTTATTATTCTCTCCAAGTCTGATATTTTTGGGAGCTTCACAGTAGAATTTACCCGGTTCGATTCCGATAAATTGTGGGAATTATTGCAGTAGAAAATAAGCTCGAAAGTTAGGTTCTAAGTTGATAATCTATAATTAATTATTGTCTAAGACGTCTAAAAGATCACAAAGTTCAATTTAAATTCACGGCGAAAATTTCGATTTTGTTATAGTTTTTTAACTCTCCTGAAAACAATTTTCACGCGTGAAACTGAATTTTTCTTTAAATAATATCGAACGATATTAGTAAAGAATTTTTAAAATCTTCAAGTACTGAAAAGTTATGTCTAAAAAATGCTTTAATTTAGTTTATATTAAAATGAATTTACAGTTTATGATCGAAGAGTTTCTAAGTCTAGAAAACATCGACAGATTTTTTACAATCTTCAAATTTTTATTAAATTAAACTGATTAGTTTTTTAAATTTTGTTAGTAACTGTTCTTCACACATTTACAAGCATGTATATAAAAGTTTATTCAAATTGGTTAAATTGTTTATGAAAATTTGAATTTGTTTATGTAGATAATTGTTTTTTCGAGGGATCGCAACAGTAGACGTCATTTCAACCCTCGGGAGTCGGTGTTTTTGAAAAAAGCCCCATGTGTAAAGTATGTCGAGTTTGAATGCAGGGCCGCTCGATTCGAACCCGGGAACTTTACAGTGAAGAGCGCCGTGTCAACGCCTCTCCCATTTGTCCTTTCTTAGGAGGCATATTCGTTTGTTACCAAGATAAATCGTCCAGTGTTCCTTTCTTTCTAGATTCATTAATTTTCAAAAAAGCCGGGGCAATTTGACACCATGTAGAGTCAGAAGGAACATTTAAGTATGATGCAAAAATGATAAAAAAAAACTCGGTAGGCGAAATCTCATTCTGAATAAGGAAGGTCAAATCAGGGAAAAGGATTTACGAGAAGAAAAACCTAAAAGGACTAAAGGAGTGGTTGTGGAAAAGTTAGGGCATCAAACGTTTCTGGTGAAGACCGAAGAAGGAAAGGTTTGAAAACGCCACACAAACCAACTGTGGCCAGGGTCATCACGAAATTACTAGAAAGAACAACAAGACGTTCAGAAAAAAAGGGCAGATGAAGAAATGTGGCCGTCAAGTGCAGAAGAAGACGTAACAATCACCCCAGAGGAGGATAGTACCAAGCAAAGACCACATCAAGAGAATGGGAAGGCAGAGGCTAAGGAAACATCACCAAAGAGGCTACCGGAACCATTGTAGACCACACCAATCGTGCTGCGCCCAAGAGAGAAGTTAAACCCAGCAATGCGGTATTCACCCTCCAGAAAGTGAGTGAAGTATGGATACATAGATTACATCGTATTCAGAATTGATTATTAGAGGGAGATGTTGTATATTGTAAAAATAAGAGAGATATCGATTTGTATAACAATCTATTTAGTCGTTTAGAAATCGGAAGGGAGTTGGTTGAAAAAAGAAGTGTCGTTTACAA